GTTTTTTTTTTTTTTTTTTTTTTTTTTTTTTTTTTTTTTTTTTGGTACCAGGGTTCGATCTATTGGTATTTTCATTGTAGTTCATATAGGAATTTATTTCTGATGTTCTCTTTTAGGTTTTGTAAGGAAGTACACAGTTGATGTGAAAATAATGCTTATTCTAAACGCACAATACATATTAAGAATTTAATATTGTGCTCACTTTGACAGCACATACACTAAAAGAATTTAATACTTTTATTATTTTATGTTTCTGTTAATTACACATTATATAATAAGAACGTCCTGACAAAACAGCAAAGATCAGTGAGATGTCAAGTATGTCTTACAAAAAGACTAGGACAGCAAGACACGTGCTGTTAGTGTAAGCAATACATGTATATGGAACATGCTGATGTCATGTGTGAAGACTGGTGCAATAAATGAAGTAAAGAATTTTTTGGGAGTAGTTCTATTGGTATTTTCATTGTAGTTCACAGAGGAATTTATTTGTTATTTTTTAGACTTTGTATACCAAAAAACCGCTGGCGTTGAATTTGATGTTTTTTTATGAACACTCAATAAATTTTACAAATTCAATACTTTTTTTTGATGTTTTTTCCTGTTAAGTGTACTTTGGTTAATATAATAAAACTCATAAAATTAAAAAATCAATTCATTAATAGAAATATTCTAAATAATAAATGTGGGTACTATGCACCCACATTTCTATGCCTTTATGACAAAATTGGTGTTACATCCCTTAAAGGTTACCACTTCTGACTCACTAAACAATGGTCTTTAGATGAGAGTAAAATATTTCACTGTTGGTAAGAATATAATGTGACAGTTACCTTCAATAGCAATACATTAAGATACCCTGAGAAATTCAGACAGAGCTATAGCTCAATGCTTTTTATTTTTTGTGGCAGTACTGGGGATTGAATCCAGGGCCTTCTTGAGCTACATCCTCAGCCCTTTTCTTATTTATTTATTTTTTAAAGCAAGGGCACTAAGTTGCCCTGGGTGGACTTGAATTTGCAATTCTTCTACTTCAGCCTTCAATGTATCTTTACCAAAACTAAGGAAATACATTAGATTTCCAACTGTGGAATACAATGCAGTCATTAAAAATGGCACGAAAAATTATACGACACAGAAAAGGTTAACATTACATTTTTGTAAAGGCAGAAAATAAAACTGTACTTAGAATCTGACTACAAAGAAGATTCTATATAGGTAGAAAAAGAAATCTCTCAAATGTAATGCACAGTTGACTCTTAAATCATGTCAAAACTATGAGAAATTTTTCTGCTCTGTTGGGATATTTCTACTTAAAAACAACTTTTTCAGACTTGTTCTGAATTTTCCCCCAAGTCTCAGTTCTGATTAGAAGCAGCACATTTTCCAAAGTAGGGGCAGCAGATGTACCAGTCCAGCCCAGGAATACCGACAGGAAAGGCCTCCTGGGGCAGGGAGAGAGGCTGACCCACTCAGCTGATAATGCTAGGCTCTCCAGTAGGGCCTCCACTAGCCCATAGTTGAATAACATCAAAGGCCTACTCCCAGCTTTGCTTTGAATATTTCACCCTTGTATGTTAGCTTCTACAATATTTAAAATCTTACATTTAACTGTTATCTATGAACTTCATCTTAAAAATAATGTTATGTTTTTATCATCTATATAACAGCTGTTTCTCTATTTTCTAATTTAATTGCCTTCGTTTTTGTTTCTTCTGAATTTCAACTCTGTATACCCTTATTCTGATCTAACAAGTATCTTACTGCTAATTTCTTCATCTTTTACTTTGCTTTAACCTTTGTACTGTTTTTATTTATAAAATCTCAGCTCCTTCACTCACTGTCTTCTTTGCTCTACAATTTGTTCTCAAAATGGCAGACAGGAGGAAGTAAAGCTACACCACAGCCCAAAGACAGGGAGGGTTTTATCTCTAAATGCTGTTGGTAGCTCTCCCATGACTATCAGAATTTCTCCAAACTGTATCACCTTTACTATTCCTGGAAGACTCCCCAGTTAAAAACCTTTATAAAAATACTAAAGTTTTCCCCTTTATTAAAGGTTGAGTCCTACTGGATCCAGGAAATGTACTATAGAAAGTAAGCTATATGAGGAAGAGTTCAAGAAGGCTGCACTTGGAATGGAACCTCCATCCAGACTCTGGTGAGGAAGTAAGGAGGCAGTATCCAAAGAGGCTTCTGAGGCAGGAAGAGGAGACAGGTTACAAAATGCCCAGTCCTGCTTCAAAATGTTCTTTTAAATTAGTCTTTAGCCTTAGCTGGGCTCTGTTGTATTACTTCAGCAGATATGAAACATGATAATAATTACTTTAGGAATATGAAAATAGCATATAGTATTATCTTTCAGAAATAATCCCAAGGGTTGGATGCTATGACTACGGTGGGTTGTTAACAGCACCAACTTAGAAAGGAAATCTCTTAAGGGAAAAGTAAAAAAATGTATAGTACCACGAATGTCTGTAAAACATACAAGGTGATGTTAGATATGATTTTTTTCTCTTTAAAAAAAGTAAGATTTTGTTTGAAGACCTGGAACTGAGGTAAAGTTAAGTAGCTGGGGGAGGGATACTTTAAAATATTTTTGGAGAATTTAATCAAAGGGATGGGAGAGTGATTAAAGGCACTGGGAGATAAAATTCTCTCCACTCCCTAGTTTTATAAGGCAACTGAACTTCCTCTTATCTGCCATTCTGAGAACAAAATGTAGAGCCAAAAGAAAGATAAAGGCTCAGGCTGGAGGATCTCTGAAGTTTGATCCAGACCCTGTCTCAAAATAAATACAAGGATGGTAGCTGAGTGTAAAGCCCTGGGTTTAATGCCCAGTTGGGGGTAGGGAGGAAGTTAAGAAGTAGGATAAGAGAGAAGTGAGAGAAAACTATACAAAGAAATGAAGTTTTAATTATTGATTAAGTTTTTCTCTGTAACAACAGCTACTGATTGCTCTGTTACCTACTGATTGCTAGGTAGCAAGGAAAAGTGATCCTATAAACATTTTTAAAATACCTTTACAATCACACCCACTTTATAGTTAATAAAGGTACCTGTAGGCTGATTTCCCCATGCCATATGGTTGAGAGCCACTAAGATGGTGACCTGTCCACTCTGAGGCTTAAGGCTTCCAACCCAACAGGGCTTTCAAGCTGTACTCAGCGAAGTGGTAGGTCTAAAGACACAGCTGACTCAGAAGGTGTGGAGAGCATGACACAGCATAACTCTGAAAAGTCTGGAGTCTAGTCTCATACTAGGGTTTAGATTTTAATGCTGACTTACTGGCAAAATACCTCTGGACAAGTGACTTAAACTCTCTGTGCTTCTGCTTCTTTATCTATATGGTGAAAATAATAATGGCAGCTACTCTGCTTTGCATTTAGTGAAAATCTCAATAAATGGAAGACATTCTTGTAAGAGGAAAGTTAAGTAGGAAGAGCTCTTGGTTAATCAGATCTACTTTCATTTGTTTGGCACAATGAACTTCCTCGTGGGAATTCCCTTAAAGAAAACAACAGTCTCCTTTAATAACAACCACCACCTCTTAAGAGGCTGAGGAAGGAGGACCACAGTCCAGCTTGAGAAACTTAGGGAGACCCTGTCTCAAAATAAAAACAAGCTCAGTGCAAAGGCCCAAGGTTCAATTCCCAATACCAACAAACACAAACACAAACAAATACAAAAAAAACCAAAACAAAACAATTTAAAAGCCACCACACATTTTACCTGTATCACTGAAATCTATGAATTCTTTTGACAGAAGGTTAGTAAGAAGCTCCATAATGAGAAGCAGGTCTTGGTACTGTTCTTCTTCTGCTGTAACATCTATTCTTTGCCGCCCCAAGTTATTCTTAGAATATACTTGCAACAAAGTAAGGCAGGCTTCATATAAGTTCATAGCTTTGGACTGTAAGAAAATATGCATATGTTATGCTACTTGGTAGAATCTATTGGGGAAACAAATATCAAAGAAGCTTAAATTACTCTAAATTCCAAAAGTAGCTATAATACTCTGTTATACTATTAAAATGTTACCAATAATGAAAAAGTATACATTAAGAATAGTTATGTTCAAAGTATTAGCCCTATTCTAACAAAACAATTTATATTCATTCAGCATGACTTCCTATAAATCATGAGTTTTTTATTAAGTCTTACTGAAAAATGTTTTGAAGGGATAAAAATAGATAACATGTGTTGAATCTGAAGTTTCTATCACCTTGTTATACCTCCAAAGACTTCCTCCTGAAGGGATGAAACTAGAAAGTGCTTACCTCTCCAAGATAGCATATCTGTTTATGTGCAACTTCAACAAAAACTTCTATAATAAGATTGACAGTCTCTGGGGTATTTTTGTAAACTTCCATCAACCCAATGCAATTGGTAAGGAAGTCCATTAAAAAATTAAAAAGAATGGCCACATTGTCGATCTGGGTAGCCTCCGCAATGCCACACAGGGCCTCCAGTGTGGCAGTGATCTCCTGCTTGACCTCCTCTTGCTGACACATTTGCTGAAAGTTTTCTTGGTTTATTACTCTTAAGAATCGCTGCTGAAGTGGCTGAAGAACCTATAAAGACACAGCATAAATTTTCCAAACATGCTTTCCTTGACTTGATAAATATTCACTTTCCAAAACATTTCTAATTGCTGGAAGTAAGACAAACACAGTCTCCGAGCCATACACTACATTCCGCATTTTTGAAGGTTTTCCTAACTTGTAGAAATGACACCCAAGTCATGGAACATGATTTTCTCAATCCCATTCATAGAATTCTGTCATTTCCCTCCATTTCTTTCCAACTGATTAACAAAAACACGTTTAAAAGAAAAAAAATTTAAGACCTCAAGTAGGGGTCAGCACATTTTTTTTTTCCTAAAAAGGGTCAGACAGTACTTTGTGTAGTACAGAGCCATAAACATGATGTAAACAGCTGAGCACAACCATTTCTCAACAAAACAATGTACAAAAACAATGTCAAAAGTCACCAGCGAACTTAAGAAGCTATAGATTCCTCCTTAAAAGGAAACAACCCTGCTATAACTTATCTTGCATTTCTTGCCTCCAGAACAATGAGATAATAAATGTTTATTGTTTAAGCCAACAAGGAGCCCCAGAAATATAGTAGTTGGCTTGCATCTACTTGTTCAAAACAGGAATGTTTCACTGATTCTTAATGTCACAATTGCCTTTATTTGTTATTATTGTACTGGGGATCAAACTAAGGGCCTCATGTATGGTCAGTGCTATACCACTGACCACATGTCTGGCCAGCGCATGTTTAACAGTACTCTAATACACTATTTACATGCCCTCATATGAACAGAGAAAATGTGCCTAAAGTATAGAACACCTGATAAATAATCAATGTTGTCAAACAGCAAACAAACCATGAGACAGTACAGCATTTATCAAGTAATAACCTTCAGCTTATTCACTAGGTGGAAAAAATATTAGAAAGGCTATGAAAGAAATGTTTACATTTCCACAGACTATTTTATAGCACCACACAGAGCACCTACAGGGCTGCAAAGGAGGGCACATCCAAGCAGAAGGAACCATTACCTCCGTCCAATACTGCTGTTTGGTTTCTGTGTCCATATGTGCAAAGCCTCCTAAGACTAGAGCCTTCATCAGTGTTCTCTGCACAGGACTAGACAAGAAATTAAGAGGTGGGCTTCGGCTTGCAAATTGCTTAGCTAGGTTCCACCAATTTTCACATTGAATTACTAAGTTTGCCCTACAGGGAGAAATAAGAAAACATAAGATGTAAGACTTTCACTGTATGTAAATATACTTAGAAAACAAACATTGAAGATAACTGATTTTTATTTATTTATTTTGTGGGGCAGAGTCTTGCTATGTTGCCCAGACTGGTCTCTTGTGAGTACAAGAGATCCTCTCAACTCAACCCTTGGGTAGTTGGGACTGTAGGCATCTACCAACACACCTGACTAGATTTAATTAGCTTTTAAAACAGTACAATAACAGTGTACACAATGGAGTCACACAGGTTTATATTCAGACTTCATTTGCCACTGGACAATGTAAAATGAATGACTCTTAATCATCAGTTTTCCAATCTGCAAAAAGGGGATAAGGATAGTTGTAACAGCACTAAATCTCATGCCTGAGACAGATATAATGATGAAATGAGGTATTATTTGTGAAATGCTTAGTAAATGCTCAATAATTTATAAGAATTCATAAATAGTATCCAATGGGAATAGTAATAACAATAATAATATATTCCTATAGAGCAAGAAAAACGAAAAACATCCTCACAATTTGCTGTAGAAAGTGTCAAAAATTTTACTTTGCAGCAATTTTAAATATCAGTTGTTCTCATCTTTAAAACAGGGATAATGCTAACAGGAACTAAAATAAATAAATAAATAAAAATAAAGGAACTAACTAAAAAAACCAAATAAGAATATTCCATGTAAGTGTTTTTATAACTATAAATTATTAAATAAGATTTATGTGTCACTCATAAGGTTCTTTAATCCCAAACCTTGAACAATCAATGTAATCTTCACTTGTAAAATGGGAAAGCCACATTTTCATTTACAACAATTTTAATGCTATTTCAAAATAATAGTTTGAATAACATGCTACTCCAAGAATGTAGAGTAAATATAGACTTAAACTGTGTAATCATTTGTCAGGTGAAAAGACTATGCTAAAAAGCAAACAACCTTCATACACACACACACACACACACACACACACACACACACACACACACACACACACACACACACACACACACACACACACACACACACCCATTCTCCAACAACAGACTTACCTTTCTCTTCTTTCTACCAAAGTGACAAGGAGCTGCACAGTATCATTTGCAAGGTCCTGCTCACTACTCCAGACTGAAAGGTTACTGATGACTTTTTGTAAGAGGTAGCCAATAATCCACTGAGAACCTTCTGTATCTGCTCCAAATGCTGTACTGAATGGCAGACTTATCTTAAGAGTGAAAACAAATATTGTTAAGATTGGAAAGAAGAATCAGCTGAGAAAATAATGAACAGAAAAATTACAGTGACACTGGCTATCTAAATCTGAAGTATTCCTACTTGTAAAAATGATTCATTTCAGTAAGTTCAAAACATCCTCAAAGCACTCATGCTTTCTCATCTGACTTTTCTGTCAACTTTATTCTCATACTGTTAACTCACTGACATGATAGTTAAACCAAATACAAAGAACATGTATTAGTCTATTACCAAATAGCAATGTGTATCTTAATACTGGTTAAAATAAAGAAAATCTGACAATGTACTCTAAGAAAAATTAGAAAACAGCATTTCAGTCTACAGTTTTCTTTAGTACAGATATGACAGTTCCTTTTTTCTAACCCTGTACTGAGGATCGAACTCAGGGCCTTAGGCTTGCAAGGCTGACGCAGCACCACGGAGTCAAATCTCTAGCCCAACAGTTCCAGTTTGCAGAAAAATATCAGTAGGAAAAAATGTTCCCATTTCTACAACTGCCAACTTTATAAGTCCAAAGTTTAACAATTTTACATTCTGACCTGATCATATAGTTTTTCATCCACAAGGAGATAAGTCTTGGCCCAGCGTTTTAGAAACCAAACAATATCTTTGCCCATTTGAGGGCTTAGTAGATGAGTAAGATCTGCTCTTATTGCTCGAGATTCAACTTCTGAAACTCTTAGAATTGCAGATAACAGCCTGTGGGTATAAAACAGAAGTCAGTTATAGATTTTTTCCCCCCTTAAAAGTTCTTTTCTGTTTGTTAATTCCCTGGATTTAGGCCAGGCTATACTTGAAAATTTCATCAATAGGTTGTAGATAAATGGGTCAGATTATTTCTGGTCTTTCATAAAATATAGAAGACAAAACAAAGACAGAGTCAATGCTAGAAAGATCCTTCCATTGAAGCTGTAGCTGTATAAACCTCAGCATTACTGTCTAAGGAGAATTTTCATATTGAAAATAGAAAAATACATAGTATTAAACATTTAAAGTACATGATAAATTCTTTCAGCATTCCATCATTATTTAAAACTCCCTCTGGTAAGCATAGTTTGTGGTTTTATATCATAAAACACAAGATCTGTTATCATGTATAATCTGGGAACTGACTCATCTAGAATGTTTTGAGAATTGAGTCTTGTCTCCAAATCTGATAACCCTACTTCTTTTTCTTTTTCTTTTTTTTTTTTTTTGGTAGTGGGGATCGAACTCAGGTAATTGTGCTTGCGAGGCAGGCGGCAGAACCACTGAGCTAAATCCCTGGCTCTTAATTCCTAATGAACATGATTCCTAGTGGTATTTTAAATAAAAATCTTGGTGGAAAGATTACCTCCCTAAATGTACATATCATCCTTTCCTATATTATATAATTCATATGATCAGGGGCTATCAATAATATAGCATGACATGAATAAGTAAAAATGTCTGTTTTAGGAGTGGGGAAGCATATAATCTTAAAAATATCTGACTTTGCCAAAAGACAAAGAAGCAGAGGATATAAAGAAAGCACCATTATAACACCATTTAATACAGATCTCAGTGCCAAAACCAGTATTCTAAAGGTTGGTCTCCTTGTCATGAAATCAGATGGACATATTTCAGCTCTTTGTCCAGTTCTGATGTGTTTGGTGCTGCTGACTACTCTGTCGTGAAAGGACTCCTCCCCATGGCATCCCTGGCACACTTCCCACCCCCGCCACATCTGTTTGCTTATTCTTTCCTGCCCTTTATGGCAGCCTCTTCTGACCTCAAGACAGAAGTTTAGGCCAGGGATTTAGCTCAGTAGTTCAGCCACCTGCCTCGCAAGCATAAGGTCCCTGATCCCTGGTACAAAAAAACAAGGAAATTTTTAAGATTCTACCTTAGGACCTCTTCTAACTGCCACACAGCTCTTAGAACATCAGTGCTCAAACTTTCAAAATTTACTTTAGGAAATATGTGAACAAAACCCTCTAATGATCTCCCATTTTAAGTGAATGTAACAGATTTGCCTATAAAGTTAAATAATTTTAGTTATCACCTCCAGTCTATCAGAATTTGAAGTAAAATGGTTAAATTAACACATTGCAATTCAACCATCATAGGGTTGACAGCCACTTCCATTCAAAAATGTAAACAAATATTTCTTTCATTTCCCCATATATTTTCTTAATAAATTTATATGTTGAAATAGTTTACTAATCACACTATTTTCTATGATAACAATGTCTATTTATTAAAAGATAATGTTTGAAGAACTTCAAATGATCATTAGACTATAAGTATTTAAAAATGTCTTTTGGATTGAAAAAACATTATAATATTAAAAATATATAGTTGAGGGCCAGGAATTTAGCTCAGTTGGTTCTGCCGCCTGCCTCGCAAGCACAAGGACCTGAGTTTGATCCCCGGTACCCCCCCAAAAAATTTAAATTATGAAACAAAAGACAAAATTTTGTGCATCTTGAGACTAACACAGCAAGGCTGCTTTTCCCAATTAGTTCGTATCTGTGGATAAATATTTTATTGCCAAAATGAGCCAAAGTTGAACATAATTCCTATTCTTCATTTCAACAGGTATAAACACTAAAAAACTTTTTCACATAAACAGAAGGTATTCTTACAACAATTAACTGAATTTCTTCCAAGTTATATGGCAAAAATCACAGTGTTAGCATCAAAAATTTGTTTTAAAAATCCCTGAATTGATAATGGATTGGGTCCTGCTTGGTGTTATATGATGCAAAGACCTGAATCTCCTGACTAGCTACACCCACTGGCCCTTCACCAGTCAACACCACACTATAAGGAACTGCCTTTTGACTCGGCACTCTGTGGGCTCTTAAATACTTGACAGTCCACGTGGCAAGGTGCAGAATGAGTGAGCCCTTCAGCCTTCTTTTTGTTAAGTGGAAGAAAGAGATGAAAGAAAGAACAGCCTGGGCAGTGATCAGGAAGTCACAGAATAGCCCCTAGGGAGTCCTCCATTATTTGTCTTATCCTTCCACCATGTTCAACAATTAGCAAAGACCCAGAGAGCTTCCACAGAAACACCAGTCAAACCTGAGGGACTCTTTCAATCTTCACTGCAAGACTACTAATGAAATATTTCCCAACTTGCCTTTAAATCTATCTTCCATATAGAAATACCACTAAAACAATTGGGTCAGTTCATTTTCCTGTAAATCTTTTTCTTCATTTCATTTCTACCTTACAAGCCCCACTCACAATGCCTCCATCCTCATCTCACCTACTGTGACCAGTGCTCTTTCCCTACATGATCAGTCACTTCAAGCTTACACTATCTTCCTGCCTCTCCTACTGTCATTATCTGGTACATTCTGCCTTCCTCTCCTCCTTCAGGTAGTAGTTTAAATAAAACCCATCTCTTCCAAGAAGTTCTCTCTGGCCCTCCTCTACCAGTAAGATGAGTCTAGTATACCTGTATACCACTCTTTTTTTATCCTCAGATCCTAGCACAGGAGAGCTGAAGGAAAACAAAAAACAAAAAACAAAAAATAAAACTGATTGAAACTTTTTAATTCTTGATATTCTAAGGATTTTTTTTTTTTTTTTTTTTTTTTTTTTTGGTACCAGAGATTGAACTCAGGACCTTGTGCTTATGTACTACTGAGCTAAATCCCCGGCTCTATTCTAAGGATTAATAGCCCAATCCTATATGACTTCTTAAACATGCTATCTAAAAACACTTTATCCTGGAGAGAACTCCAAATCAATCCTAGATTACATTTGTATTTCATAAATCAAAATATGGCACAATAAATAGTGCTTTCTTTAACTTCTCAAACGACCTTTACTCCTGTCATTTTGGCCTGGACACCATCTGTCTCCTGCACCACTGCAACTAGCCTCATACCTGCTCACTTCCATCATTCACATTCAATGCATTAGACTAACAATTTTAACGTACAAGTTCCTCTTCTGCTCAAAACCCTATGATAGCATCACATGGCACAAAAGCCAAAGATGTTACAAAGGCATGAAACCCCTATTTTGTTTCTATTTCCCCAACTCTACTTCTTAAAAAATTCTACTCACTCTGTTTGGCTCCCAATGGCTTTCCTACTGTTCCTTGCACATGCCAGGCATGCCCAGAGCCTCTGCAATAGCTGTTATTCTGCTTGGAATGTTCTTCCCCCCATGAAAGGAACACCTTCAAGGTTCCCTTACCAACCTCAATTCTACACTCACAAGTTACCTCCTGAATGAAGCCCATATGGATCATCTTATTTAAAACCACAATAATCCCTGAAGTCTGTGCCGATCCTACTACCTGGCAAATCACCGGCACACTATCACTGGTACATCCGTAGCACCCACCAATGCCCAGTGCACAGGAAGTACTGGGTAATTATTTGTTAAATGACAGTTGCTTCAAGTAATGTGAATTACTACTTTCTTAGGCAAATAAAGAATCTTCTCCGGTCAATTTCACATTACAATATGCGAGTCAATTTCATAGTATTCTTTGGATTTTAAAAAATTGCAAATTTTGGGGGGGGTTCTAAGCTGTATTCTCAGATATAGAAATGTTTCCCCCGACATTTGACACCTAAGACTAGAAGAACTGAAAAAGCACTTAAGATATAAGGAAAGCATTCCTAATGGTACTAACCAGGCAAGAAATATAACGACACCCTGAAATGAATTGTCTTTGAAATTAACATTCACCACAAAACAAAGCAAAGCAAAAGCACTGATTTCCACAGACCTTAAATCAAATGGCTATAGTAGTCCCAAGAGAAAAATTTAAAACTTTTCCAATATTTTCAATATTTTATTTCTAAAAGAAATTATTATAAGTACCAATTAAGGAAATAAATTCCCAAATATTTCACTGGTATCTGCTTATTATTTTAACTTGTAAAATAATCGTATTTTCTGCTGCACGGATTTAAGTGATGTTCATACATTTTTGCATTAAAAACAAAGAATAAAGAGGTAGCAAGTTGTTTGAGTTATTGATCTTGGAAATGACAATGTCATCGTCATTACTGACATCTCTGCATACAACCTAAATTTCATTTAAAGGTAAAAATGGTAAAATTTAACGTTGCTTTCAAATCCACTTCTAGAAGATTTACTCCTGATTTGCCCATCTTAACTGTACAACTAAGAATAAATGAAAATTTTGCCACTGCTCTTAGTGAATCCTCTCATTTGAGAGACTGCTGTTTTGTAACTGCTCCTAGTGGGGGTGGGGGTTCTCAAGATTCACATATTCAGAATATTTTCATTTTATAAGATAAGAGTTATGGTTTCCTTAAGAAAGCCATTGAAACAGTTTCAGCTTTCATGAACAGTAAATACTTATTATGTTTATCTGGTTTCTAAGAACCTCAAATTCTTTTTTTTTTTTTTTTTTTTTTTTTTTTTTTTTTTTTTTTTTTTTTTGGTTTATTAAGGTTGTCCACACAAGTGCTGTCTGTAGTAGGTTAGACTGACTCTCCCTTTGGGGTCTTGTATTTACCATAACTTTACACTTGTTTTCCTCAGTACTGAATATATGTCAATCCCCATTCAAGTGGTATTGCCTAAACATATTTAGTACTGAGAACTTGACATCCCTGTGTATTTCAAGGCTTTGCCAAGTTTTCTTTCCTTTATGTGTCTGATGTACAGCGTGGCTATCCATCTACCCATCAACTCATAATTTTTAAAACAGAATAAATTACAAGAGCACAGCTATAGAGTTCATATTACCTAATCACAGAATCTGTTCTGTTGTACCCTGGGATGGAAGAAGCTTTTTCTCCTGGAGATCCCAAAATTTGAAGTGTTGTATTAATGTCAACTTCAGATGAATGCTTAATGGAATATTCCATTATTTCTGGAGGTATTAGCGGAGTCTCTCCCTGAGTATCATCAGCTAAGAGGTAGCCTTCAGTTTAAAAAAAATTAAAAACGAACACTTAACAAATCTATATTTACCAAATTGCACTATAAATGTTTTCAATTTTATTTGTAAAGGTAAATTATAAATGTTAATCTGTTAATTTCAAGTTGATGAGAAAAAAACTTTAAATTTCTTAGATAACCTCAAAATTATAGCAAAGGACAAGTGTTTTATTCATTAATTTTATAATTCATACTGACATGTTGGCTTTTTAATCTACTTTTAAATAATTTTCAGTAGTACACTTTCTAAGATGAATAAGAATTCTATTATCTTTATAAGAAATCAATATTGAAAAATGCCTTTCCAAAAGCCTTTCTGAAAAAGACGTTTTCTCATTATTTGAAATACAGAAACACTGATAGTATGGTTGTTAAGGAAGAAGATCCAAAAATTCAGACTGCCTCAATTTGCATTCTGGCTCTAAACATTAATAGCCATGACCACAGGCTAGTTTCTTTTACTTTCAGCTTCTATTGCTGGATGGGAATGATGATGACGATAACAGTAACAATACCTAACAGTACTAATTCAGTAAGCTACAATGAGACCCACATAAAACCTCTGGTGTACAAGAAGCACTGAATACATATGAGCCAGTATTTTAAAAAAATGTACTCATAGCTCTGTGGTGGAAAAGAGCTATGTTTAAATTTCATCCATTACAGTGTATGAACTACTATTTTTATTATATTAAGCTTCTAATTTTAGGGCTTAAACTGTTTCATTGGCAACATTTTAAAAAGAAGCAAGTAACTAACCTGTAACTAAAATCAGCCAGTGAATATCTTCATAGAGATCATCAAGCATTTTGTTGTCAATGGTGCTTGAACCAGGTGAAGCAAGTAATTGTTGCTGATGTCGTTGTAACTGACCATGGAGTCTTGTTACTCTTTCTTCTAATAAACTAAAAGAAGAAAACAAAATAAAACACAATAGAAAATTTAATACATAAAGACCTAGAACAACTTATAACTTCAATATATTAGGCAACATAAATTAAGATGTTAGCATAAAAACATATGTACAGAACACTATAGTACACAATTATTCTCAAAGCACTATAGAAATTGTGACTTATCATTTATGATACAGAATTAAACAATGATTTATAAATAATCAAGGTTTACAACAATCATTTGAAAACTGGTTATTCCAAGTTTTATTGATATGGGTCAAATCATTTCTCATACCATGCTTTCCATAATCTCTCTGCCATCTATGTTGTAGTGTCTGGGCTCCAAATGTGTAAGCCAAAGAATGAAACCATGAGTATGTTTCTGTCCATTTGGTCCAGTGTGCTGGGATATGGGGCAAGGGTGTTTAAAGTCTTTAAACACTTTAAGTGCTCTCCAGCGAATTGTGAATAGAGAATATTTGCTCCATAGGGTTTCTTTGGACTGTGTGTACCTTGTCAGAAGAGGTATACAGTGTTCTGCAGCAATTCTTCCTAGCATTCCTACACTGGCTAGTTGATCAGAAAACTGGTCTCGGTCATCTTCTTGAAGTTCACTTATTTCTTCTTCCTCACGCGAGGCCACACCATTGGCAGTCTATTATAGGTGAAAGAAAGAAACAATTAGGAACTGCATGCACTATCTTCTTCAGTAAGATGAATTTCTGTGGTCCTGTAAAATACCTTCAGTACTGCAAATGGAAAGGCAAACAATCTTCAATCTAGGGACTCCGTTCTAACTATGCCAGCAGCACTAGAGGTGAGCAAAAGGAGGACAATACACACACAAAAAAAGTACAGCTTTTACTCCCTACTGCATGTGGTAAATACAGATAATTACACACTCACATTCCAGGTCCCATACCAGGGAATTTCACATGTCACTAAATGATCTGCTATCCTGGTCTTTTGGATATAAGAAGTCATTCAATAGCACTGGACAACCAGCAGAGGTGGGCAAGGAAAACTGAAAAAGGGACGACTATTAGCAACCTCCCATTTAACAACTCATTTAGAAAAAACAGGATCACTTTTGCTCTCAGCAAATCTTTTGTGGGAGCATATTCTAAATTTCTGGTATCAATAATTTCTAATACAATGAAATACAGCCTCTGGTGGCATTGTTACCACCTGGCTTAAAACTTACCAAGTTCCTCGTGCCATCTGGAGCAGCTAGGTGACACTGGATATAGGAATTGAAAACTTGAACTGCATGTTGAGTAAAAAAGCCTTTATGGAAATGTTTATCATCTTTTACCAAAGTCAGCCAGGATTCCAGCAATTTATCATATGCTTCCATGTATACCATATCATCTTTATCAAGCTAAAAGAAAAGAACATTTCATAAAACATTCTCAAAAGGGCTGAACATATGGGTGAGGACTTGGGTTCAATCTCTAGCACTGGGGGTGGGGGGCCCAAAATATGTACTGGAAACTTGTACAAGAATATTTATAACAACACTAATGGCCAAAGACGGAAGCTCAAAGGTAATTTACAAGAGAATAGAAAAACAAATTGTGATATAATATAGTGATATATAAGGATACATATGATTAAAAAACTTAAAGCAAGGAAATAATAAACTTCAAAACTGTGATCATCTCTGTTCCAAGAGGTAGAATAGGGTAGCAGCAAGGAGATGAGACTGATAAAGAGAACACATAATATCAACCAGGTACTGGTAATGCTCCTGAGTTGGATCATGGGCTCACACATTGCTATTTTATGTTTTAGGACCATATATATCATATATATATTATATAATATATGACATAAAAAAATAATCCATAGTAGTTTTGTGGGTAAAAGACAGGATATATGTAAGATGATTAAAAACTGCTAAAATATCCAAGCACAGTGCTCAATTTATTATTAGTAGCAAAAGGTGGTTTTATTCATTAAGCAAAAATGTATTAAATGCTAGGACCTAAGTACTGCAATACAGAGATGAATAAGATACTTTCTTCCCCTGGAAACATCTGTGCCTGTTTATATACTGTACTTAACAAAGCATGTGCTTCACAGACATCATTTGTTAGGTCTAACAGTTTATCTTGCCAAAACAAACAGACTGGTAACATATCGTAACAGGAACTTGGAACAGCATTCTTTGACTACAATCTCAAAGGGGGGGCAAGATATTTTCTAAGACCCATCTTCATTAAGTTTTAGTATCTAAGCCATATATGTTCTCACAGCTTATTCATATACAGAAAAGTATAATATGTCCTACATGCCTTTCTACTGTTCAAAGGACTCTTGAATATCCTTTCTATAGAGCCCTGATACTAGACAAAGTAGATCACAGGCAGAGTTTAAGCACCTCTACTCACTGAATAGGGACTTAAATAAAAACTATGGATTTCTAAACAAACAAACAAAAAACTTTCTGGATACCAAGCCAAGTAACTCCTCAAGCAAAGTGTAAAAAATTTGGTTGATGACAATTGGCAACTAGATCTTCTATCACAGAGAAATGAAACCTAACCTAGCTCTCTTTCATAATACCTTGGCCCTGCTCCATGACCACCCTGCCAAAACCCAGCAGCCAAGCCAGCAGCACGTGCACAAAAATGACTAAGGAGACCAAGCTAGAGACTATGTGCTCATAGCCCGGGTATGGTCAGGCCTGCTGCCAGTGAGGCTTTGGAGAGGGGCTTAGAGCTTATGAGACTACTTGACCCCACTTTACTCCATTTGGAAACAGGGCAGAGAAGGTAATCAAAATATATCAGCACTTCTCTCTCAGTGGCTGTAAGTAACTTAAAAGTGCAGAAAAATGAATTTGCAGTCCATCAGATAGAGGGAAAAAAAATCTTCCTAATTGCTTTGGTAATTATGTTGAACACAGAATTCCAAAATAAAGTAGTAAATTTTTCTGTGTGTGAAATGTTGTCAAATGAAGCTATGGAAAGAAAAATTTCCATATTATCAATCTGCCTTTTTTTTTTTTTTTTACATTGAACTGAATTTCAGAGATTAATATTACTCTGTTTCCAAGTATATGAAATTCTGGAAAAGGCAAATTACAGACAGAGTAAAGATTCATTGCTATCAGAGGATGAGGGAAGGAGGAGGAATAGGTGGAACATGGAGGTTTTTAAAGGTAGTGAAAATATTCTGAATAATATTACAATGGGCAGATGCATGTCCAAACCCACAGAATTCATACCAAGAATGAACGGTAATGAAAACAATGGACCCTGGGTGATAGTGATTTATCAGTGTCAATTCAACAGTTGTAACAAACATACCACTCCACTGTGGGATACTGACTGGGGAAGGTTCGTGGGGAGGAGGCTATGCATGTTGCAGAGGGAATAGGAATTCTGTATTTTCACTCAATTTCTTTCTATGAACCTAAAATGGAACTAAAATATAAGGCATCTGTATTTGCTCCTGTATATAAATGTAATATCAACAATATATTTAAAAATACAAGATAAATCTCACACTAGAGTAGTTATAAATTTGATTATACTACAAACTCCAAATCTATGCCTAATAATGATGGATGGTACTACAGTTACTAGTAGACATTGGCTATAATCTATCCCAGTACAATGCATCTTTCCTATGAACAGCAAATAATACAACAACTTCATTTTCCCCCATGAAATTAGAAAGTTCCTTCTGTTGATCAACAGAATTCTTTGCTTTTTCTTTTCTTTTTATTTTTTTAATGGTGCTAGGGATCAAACCCAGGGCCTGGGTTGGGCATTTAGCTCAGCAGCATTGCACCTGCCTGGCAAGCACAAGGTTCTGAGTTCAATTCCCAGTACCAAAAAAAAATCAAATTAAACCAAACCAAATCCAGGGCCTCATGCATGAAGTGCTCTATCACTAAGCTATAACCCCAGCCCAAGAATTTTTTCATACATAAACATAAAATGATTAAGAAAAGTATGACCCATAAAATAAATGCAGTGAGAAGTGTGGAAAAACTGCTTAAAATAAGAGGAGAAAAGAAAAAGAAAAAACAAAATAAAAACAAAAACCTAGGTAAATGAGAGTGAAGGGCTCTATTGATGTACTTTTTCTTAATTTGGGTGGTTGATACAGAGTTGTTCATTCTACCATTCTTTATTCTGTAGGAATGAAATATTTCACAATAATTTAAAATTTGTATGCCCATGCTCAATGACATGTCACAAATATTTGCAATGCACAGTGTAAATTATTAATAAAGATACATAAAAGATCAAAGACCAAAAGAGCTATATTGATTTGCTATCATTCATCTGCTCTAAATATTCAGATTCTCTCTTACTATCATGTCATTTAAGGTGTTTACAGCAATCATACGTAAAAAGTCAGGAAAGTGATAAACAAAATGTTATAAACTCTTGGGAGGCTGAAGAAGGATCACAAGTTGAAATCTCATCTAGCAAGAACCTGTCTCAAAATAAAAGATAAAAAGGGCTGGGTATGCAGCTCAGTGTGAAGGCCCTGTGTTCAATACTTAGTCCTGGCGTGGGAGTGGATGGTAGAATTTAGAAGTCCTTGAATGTTAAGTGCCAAAGAAATTAATTAAGCTTTACACATATATGACCTCCTCTAGCTAGCACTTAAAAGCACAGAATTAACTTCAGAGTACCTATGCAGCTGACAGTATTCCTGACTCCTGAAATCTAAGAGATATTGATTTAGTAGTATTGCAGCTGTTAGAAAAATCCTATAGATAGATTACTTAAGGAGGAGGTAGGGTGGAGATGTAGCTCACTGCTAGGGTGTTTGCCTAGCATTCGTGAGGAACTGGGTTCAACTTCTAACAAGGCCAAGACAAACAACTGCCATCACAAAAACACCAAGAATCCAAGTTGTAATTTATAGAGCTTTTAAATGTTGTGTTCTGGATTAGTATACTTTCACATAAATTTCAAAAGGAAGAATTTCTAAATTCTTAATGAAAAGGACAGTATACATAGTAGACATCATGCCTGGCATACAGTGGGTGTTCAACATATATTTACAGAATTTAATTACTCCAGCAGTACTACTAGTGGGCTGGTGTTTCCGGAGTCCTCTAGCTTACATGGCTTACAAAACCTTTTTCTACCTCACATTAGCACTCATCTTTGAACTCTAGATCCATTGAATCTGTCTATGTCTCTAGTGTTAGCCCTGTAAACATAAGGGATATGAAATAGAACAGTTGTGACAATAAATAAGCTTTATTCAATCCTTTGTATTCTATCTCAAGGACAAGAATACTGTAAAACTTAAAAATACTGGTTCTGCACTAGGATTTAATAATCAGAACTGATATATATCTAAGTAAAAAAAAACTGCATAAATTATGATTCAACCAGAATTAAATAATACACTGAAATAATTCTTTAAAACAGTTCTTTTAATAAGAATGTGTATTTAAGGTGCAACTGTAGTCAGTTTTCTTCCAAAGATCCTCATACAGGTAAAGTTATTGATATTAAAAAGTGTGTAATGTTTTAAAAAATATTTATCTCCTTAACTGCATTTTCCCTACATTATCTCAGGCCAAGGAAATGCATACTCAGGACAGGTGAGTGAGGCTGGCAGCATCTTGCCTTCTGAAATATTATCAGGTATTTTTTCCTAGGTACCAGAAGTAGCTTTTATCTTTTTATGAAGGATTTATTTATGACTACCCTTCTAGGTGCACTGAACTGAGTCAAGAGAGCAATCCAGTTTTCAGCCAAGTTCTACAGCTGCTAAAGTTTCTCAGTATTCTTGAGGTGAAGACTTTTTCATTACACTCTCAAAGTGGAATTTCTATCTATTGTTGGACTGAAAAAGTGAGACTGCAGAGATGAAACAATATTATCTTAAAGAATTAAATCTGAATAATTATTGTTCACAAAGATATTTTAATACTAATGCATATATTTGAGTTTGTGTAGTGAAATTTGAGGAATGACTTGAATTCTCTATTCTAGTTTGTTTCTTGAATTTTTGATCAGTAGCAAATTTTGCATTCGGCCCACAATTAGGATTGGAAAGGCCATGCAACATGTTGAGTTACACGGCTAGAGTAGCTATTATGACAGTGATGTGTTTTGTATGTGTATTTTCATGTGTATGTGTGGATACAAATAAAGTGAAAACTTTACATTTAATTTTACAAGGTGGTAAACCAAGGAGGTACTTGATAAAGTTGTTAGGAAGTTCATTAGAGAATGCCATGTACTAAAATAATTTTGTAATTTGTTGGGTGAAGGCATTTAAAGATTAGCATTCTTGATTTAAAATCTAGTTTCTCCTGTTTGTTGGGTGACTTTCAGTACAGTGTAACTCATTTGCTCCTTTGCTCATGGGAGTGTGGGTCATTTGAGAATGCCTATCCACCCTCCTCTCCATTGGTTCTGGTACCTAGGAAAAATACCTGATGATACTTCAGAGGGCAAGATGCTGCCAGCCTCACTCACCTGTCCTGAGTATGCATTTCCTTGGCCTAAGATAATGTAGGGAAAATGAAGATAAGGAGATACATATTTTTTAAAACATTGCACACTTCTTTTTAATATCAATAACTACCTGTATGAGAATATCTGGAAGAAAACTATTACACCTTAAATGCACATTCTTATTAAAAGAATGGTTTTAAGAATAATTTTAGCGTATTATTTAATTCTGATTGGATCATATATCAAAAGACATAATAATCAAGAATTTTTCTTACTGTAAAGATGCTCCCCAGGCTATAGCAATATTATCACCATCAAAGACATGAATGCTCAGACTATTTTGTTCTCCTAAACAAATAGAGTTCTCAACAATCTTACCAAAATAAAAGTCTATATGCAGAATCTATATTCTTACTATGAAAAGAAACTCCTTCAATATTAATGAAAAGCATTTTCTAAAATTAAAATTATAAAAGACTTTTAAATATAGAAATTATAAAAGATCACTGATTTTCACAGAACAAAACCCAACAACCAGTCCTAGGTGGTAAGACTACATACAATACAGGCTGTCAATCACCTGTATTACAAAGGTTCATTTAAATAATTATTATTCTAAGTTTCATTATGCATACGAAAGAGGTACTTTCATAAAGTCAACGCCATAAAACATCAGAAGAGCGGGGATTTAGCTCAGTGGTTCCTCCATGACTGTACTATCACAGTTCATGATCTTTCTATATTACACTGGCCTCAAGATGTTTTTTATTTGCCTTAATTTTTTTTCAAGGTCCACTCTAGTTTGGCTAGATCCGTTCATGAACAGATGCTATTAGCTGCATATACAACAAAACACTGAGGCTAAAATAAAATAACATTCAGGAGGATTTGTTTAGTCTTTATGCAAGTCACTGGATAGAGTCACACCCTCTCAGCCTTCAGTGTTACCAAAACTCCCTAATGCTACTTCCACAACTAATGTAAAGCCTTAGACAAATTGTTTCCCTCTGCCCTTTACAATATGACTAATTTTTTTTTTTTTTTTATTGGTACCAGGGATTGAACTCGGGTCCTTGTGCTTGTGAGGCAGGTGGCAGAACCACTAAGCTAATCCCCAACCCTATGACTAATTATTTTTAAAAAGAACAATTGTTCCTAAGTGAAACCTATTAAGTATATCATAAATAAAGCATATTTTCTTGCGAAATAAGTGCAAGATGTATCTGCTTCTCTGAAAACACATCTTTCTTATATTCCAAGGCTCTCACATCAAACATTGACAGCCTCCTAGTCAAAATAAACAAACTTAAATATAAAATTTGTAAACCAAGATAATTATATAGATTTTATCTTCTAGCAATTCTTTTTTAACACATCAGGAACATGCTTAACCACAAAGAGAAACAAAAAGGTACCTAATGTTTCTACACATGTAATCAATATGCCAAATCTTTAATCCAACTGGCTTAGCAAATAAAAATAAACCAAACAGGATAGGGAAAGTACAATGGGACCATGTTAAATGAAACCTGACTGGTTCAGATCTGTGATCATTTGAAAGGAATCTGAGTAAAGCTTAAATACTTAATTTTCCATACATTTTTGTGTTTAGAACATAAATTACCTCCCTGAGAAATTCAAATCCAACATAGGATGCTTTTAAACATGTATTCTTCTACTGCATACATTTTTCCACCACATAAATCTCTGCCTGACAGGGTTCCTTTCCACTCACCAAATCACTAAAATGCTCAACTGCATAAAAACAATCAGTCTGAGTTCTTTACTCTTGGAACATCTTTGAAGGAAGAAAAACTGAAATCAGCTGCCAAACCCCCACCAGAACAACTTAGGACTTAACACAAAATTCTAACAGATATATACAAATACTGTTTTTACTCTTACAATCTTTTAAAAGATCCACGTTTTGGTTGATAAAAAGAACAATTAGTTTCAACAATTTAATAACTACTTTGTAGAAAAAATTATTTTCCATGATTAATACAATTATTTACAGTAAGTATTACAAAAGCAGCTGTATTGTCAAGGGGTTTTAGTATGTTTTCTAAATTTAAATACAAAATTTACAAAATAGACATGTGAAAATATGTACCAAAAGATACCTTTAGTATTAATAGTCTTTCAATGTAAATTAGAGTCTATCAAAATGTAGTGCTATTAAATCCTGATACCAAAAAAGTTAAAAGCATTAAGTAAAACAAGCATAACTACAATTATTGAACTGAATTGTGTAATTTCCAAATAAAAATATCTAAATCTCAATAAATATAAAAATACACATAATCACATCATATGAGGAGGTTAGCAGTACCCTGTGAATTTGTTAAATGCCATAAAAATGGGCTTTCAACATAATTTTTAATAGGAGGATTTCATTCCAATTGTCTCAAAATTAAAATCTTAAAATCAATAAATATCACCTACACTGATTTGAATCCACAAATTTTTAAAGGTCATGTTTCCAAATACATGTTGCTAACTAATTTACACATATAAACAAAATGGTGATTTTAATAAGAGATACTAGCATTTACTTAAAATAACTACATCATAACAAAATGTTCCATATAAAGCACACATTTCCTTATGAAAAACTGACATAATTTATTTTAGAATAGTCACTCACCACTTCTTCCAGTGCAGCACTTCGCCCAAAAGAACAAGTGAGGTGTGTGAGGCAGTTAACAAAGGAGGAGAAAAGTTCACTAGGAATGGCAGTTAAAACGTTTCGAGGGAACACGGTTATCAGGTTGCTGATAATGCTGGAGATTCCCACAGCTTCAGAATCTTCAATTTCAATTCTACAAATCAAGTATTGAGGATTATTAAGGAAGTTATAATTCATTTCCAAATAAGCAAATGTTATCACCTTTTCATTTTTAAAGGTATATTCTCTGCATATTAATTTCAAATTAGCCATACTACTTTACTTCAAAAATATACAATAGGGGGAAATTACTTATTTTTTTTTCCTCCTCTGTTAAACACAAGGAAAACCCCAGAAAGTTCTTCTTTCAGTTATAAAGGGTAAGCATACCTACCCATTGATAGTATTCAGTAACCCTTCAATGAAGTGTGCTAGATAATCAACTTGTGATCCTTCATCAGGGAAGACAGGTCCGTGCAGAGACGCTAACTGGGCAAGGCACTGCAGAGAATCTTGTGCCATATCTGAATCTTCTCTGATTTTTCGATGTACCTGTTAGGAAGAATTACTAATCCATAAAAATAAATTCTTCTTTTGTAAGGGTCACGTGTCTACCATGCCAAATGAGGTAACAGAAAAATTCACTGTAGCTGATTATTTCTAGAAAGTTAATTCATTAATTTAGGTAAATTTGACAATTGCCCCTTGGTCCAGTTGACATTGCAGGCCATGATGTTAAACATATCAATTAATTTATAATTGAGGGCTACCTACATTTTGAAAATTGAACTGTCTCCAGCACATTATGACAAAGAGAGAAACAGATGCCAGCCAGTCAGACATACTGCTTCTTCTAAAAACAGCAACGACGACAGTCATCTGTATTATGCTAACTATGCCTCGCTACAGCGTCTTGCTAAAGTTAGCAGACAAGTTCAATCAGGAGTGTATATAGATGCTGTCTTAGTGGAAGTAAACAGATGCACACTTAGAAAACCAATATATCAATCACTAGACATTCATTCATTCATTCATTCAACCAACATATAGGAATATGCTTTCATTAATTATGAAAATGTCTAGTTTGTCTACATATTTTATCAGAGATTGCTATTAATATTTAAAGTTTGCAGTAAACACTTTAAATTACATATAAATCCATTTAAAAGCTCATCCAGATTATATTTCATTGTTACAAGACTGATGTGAAAGACCTGGTTTAGTGTTTTATATGAAGGAAATGCTTCCCAAAATATTGCTCTTTAACTTTATAGTATTATTATTTTCACATATTAAAGGTTTCATTTCTGTGATCTGACATAATTAAAACAGCAAATGAAAGTTTAGTGAAGAAATTAAATGATAATTATTCATCTTAATTTACCTAGTATTTTACCGTGACCATTTTCTGCTTAGCACAAGCACTTTACTCCAGCTTTTCTTTCAAACTCAACTCTAGACTTTGCAAATGTTGCATTATGTTGAACATTTATTCTTTCTTTGTTCAGGCTATTTTCACTTTGAATCTGCAAATATGTATTTCATAGTACAGTGCTGGGCCACTGTGAACAATAAATCCTTGTTTGTGGATTGATCCATTAATTATTAATACTTGAATGTCTTCAGACTCTAGTCAAGAAATTCAAAACACTGTGACATCTCCAAAAATTAAAAATTTAACAACTGATATGTTTATGTGTTGCAGTCTTTGGTCTAGAACATGGCTTAGCCAAACATGAGCTAAATCTGGTTTCCAGCTGATATAAATATATAAATAT